GAAAGAGAGAGGATTTTTCTCATGAAGTTACAAAAAACAGAGGAGGGCATGTTTTGCCCTGCTAGAGAGTGTTTTAGCGCTGTTAAGGACGCTAAAACGCGTTGGGTTCGCAAAATGGAGGAATGATCTCTGCCCTTGGGCGTTTTAACGCGAAAGTTGGCGCTAGAACGCTCAAGTGGGCGTTTTAATGCGCAAAATGTGCGCTAAAATGCTCTAAAGACCTGGAGAAGGCCAAATTTTCTGCCTCTGGGCGTTTAAACGCTCAGTCGGATGCTAAAACGCTCTACCCGAAAAATCAGCAAAAACTTAGTTTAGTAAAACTGGTATAACTCGAGCTATAGAGCTCCGATTTGAGCGCGGTTTGAACCCACTCGAAGATATAGAAGAGATCTACAATATAGTAGGAGTTGAGAACTACAGAGGAAGTAAAGAATTCATATAATGATAAATGAGATAAAGATATTTAACCACGTGTGGTCAAATAAATTAAGAATATGATGTCAAACTTAGTCTCGTTTATCTCGTAATGTCATATGGTTATGGTCACGCAATTGGTTATTTTAAATTCGGCATTATTCAAAAAGAAAAATTTACCCGGATTTTTATTTGAACCAATGAGATTGTAACTGCGCAATAATGTAATATTAACAAACCGGTTATAGAACGGGATGTTACAATTAAAATCTTGTTGGTTGATGTTTCTGGTTTATTTTGTGATGAAAATCACTCAAAAAGACGTTGCAATAGTGAAATCTCAAAAAATCGTAGGAGTTAAGGTGAGATTGTGAGAGAGGCACTCTATTTATTTTTCTTGCTAAAATGTCTCACGAAATTCACACCAATAGAAAATCCATTAAAATCGTCAGATTTTTGAATACAGTAAGATTGTTTTTCCTTTGTTTAAAATCTTGATTAAATATCATCGGATTTGGACGGACTCTAAAATAATCTTTTACAATCTTAATCGAATACCAAATGACTTTTTTTTCAATCTTTCTAAATTCTAATTGAATACCAATGGATTTTTTTGTCCAAAAATAATCCATTAAAATCCTTTGAAATCTCAATCCAATATACCCCCTAAGATTATGATGGTATATTTTATTTTTACAATAAACTTAGAGGTTTTAACTTACCAATGGATTTTGTCCTACATATTTGATAATTGATTAGCATGTTCCTTTTGGCAATCGTCTGTTTGTGACTCTGTGATCATGTCATTATTGTTAGTTAGTAATGATTGAGGTAGTAAATGGGTCACGCGGTTTATCAAGGCCGGCCTTGCTTGTATCAAGTTAAATTTGATCTATTAAATCTAGTAAAATATAATAGACTCAAGCTTTTAAAAAGGCTTCTTTAAAAAATAGGTCATAGACTTCCTTTTACAAGGCTCGTCATATAAGCATATATGTTGTCATATATCATATTATTTATTTTAATAAAATAAATAAAATTATTATTTAAATAATTTTGAGTAATAAAGTAATTTTATTTTAATTATTTTTTTAATTCTTGAATGCCTAATGAGTAATAAGCTTACATAGGCTAACAGGCATAGACCATACCTTTTTTAGAAAAATATAGGTCAAGCTAAACTTATAATTTAGTCTACACCAGGCCAGACTTAAAGTATTTTACGAAGACATAGCATATTTAAGCTCAAACTAGACCAGCACAGCCCATTTACACCCCTAATAATGACAAAATAGGGACACGATACATATTGGACTTGACAAAGTGAGTTGAACCCGATGGGTCAACCCGCTAAAACGGGACAAATTGAGTTGTGTATTTCAACCTACCAAATCAACATAAACTGCCTATGTGTGGGGCAGGTTAAAAAGGGTTAGCAGTAAAGTGGGATGGGATGGGTCAACCCATAAGTCATTTTTAAAAAATATACATTAAATATTAAACTATTGCTTGTTGATCTATAGGTCATTTTTTTAAAAAAAAAAATTATTAAATTATGGCTTGATTGATCTACGTGAATGACTATTATATGAAACAAAATCTTCTCTTTTAGGGCAATAATGCTATTATTTTACTGCGAAGATGATTTTTTTATTCATTTTTGATAGGACAGAAAGAAATTAACACAAAAAATAAAAGAAACTTAAGTCTATTTTTGGATTTAAATGCTAATATCTAATATCTATACAAATCATACTAAATTCTTGTGAAATTCTTAATGTAATGATGTGTTCGTTTGCAAAATATTCATATGCTTGATGTCATTATTTGGTTATATAATAACACTAGAATTTATTATTTAATCATAAAATATGATTTGTATTGTTATGTTAAATGAAATTATTGGCATAAATCATTCTTTTGCCTTTAACTTATTGCTTGAAGCTTATTTTAAACCTGAAAAATATTTAGAAGTTAGAGATTAGAAATAAAAAATTAGCATTAATATTTTTATTTATTTTTTAAAATATTTTATTTTAAGCTCAAAAGATGATATTTTTAACACACTCACCACGGCGGGTCAACTCGCTTGCCCTATTTTTAGAGGGATTTTACATTTCAAAGATTAAAGAGCACATTGTCATTTTTAATTTTCATGTTCAAAATTATTTTCATATTATTTTTGAGGATTTTTTGAAACCAAAAATATTTTAAAATTGACTTAATTTATAGAGTTAACACCCTTTTGTGTGCTCAACAAAAAACATGAAATTCATTTTAATCTCTTAGAAAAAAAATATCAATATTAGTCTTTTTTGAGGAACTAATGTGAGTCTTCTTTAAATTTCTTAGGGACCACAATTTCAAAGAACTGAGATTTTAGAGGTACCACAAGTCAACTTTTTTTTTCTAAGAAATTAAAATAAATTTTGCGTTTTCTGTTGAGAACCCAAAAAGATAGTTACTCTAATTTATAAATAAATTAAGGACTTTGCCAGTTTAGAATTTAGGTTTAGTTTTTATTTTAATCACTACTTATCTTATGAATTGAAATTACAACCTATTAATATTCTCGTAGTGTTATGATATTATGTATGCTTAGTTTTAGTATGTTATACAAATAAATAATAATAATATATAGGATAAAAATATAAATATTGCATTTTTAAAAACAAATTATCGAAATAATGTCGTTTGCAAATTATATACAAATATAATGAAATTAGTTGCGCCCCATTTTATACGCAACTAGTTGTGCCATATATACACTCCCATCCCTCCCAAATATCTTTCATTCTTCCCTCGTGACCCTCTCTCTAAATTTTCTCTCACTTAGCATATTTTTCATTCAAAACATAAAAAGACAAGAATAATGCATATATCATATAAACGAAAGGGAATTATTGATAAAATTAGGCACTAAATCATCAAATATAAACCCAAAATTAACTTTCCAGGGAAGAGTTTATAATTATACCAATTATCAATTATGTAGTTAATAAAAATTTATTATAGTTAAAATAATTATTTAAATTAAAATTAGGGTTATGGCCTTTTCATCATCATTTGACCATTCATCTGAGCACAAGTTTGATGTCGGTTCGCCTTGAGGGTATGTTTGGTTGGAGGAATCTGATGAGATAGATAGGCATTGGAGAAGTGGGATTGTAGGGTGACCTTGTTTGGTTGAACTGTTTCCAATATTTGCCTACTTAAATCAGTATCTCAGCTTACTAATTTATATGTCTATTGGACCAAGATAGATGGCCACATATTCTCATTTCAGATGTGGTATTGTGAGTTGTCTACCTAAATGGTCACATTGGGCAATAAATGATGACGAGCGTACCCTTGCTAGAGTGCGTGAAAGTGAATTTTTTTTAAGAATAGGGTTATTTTTGTATTAGCAACTTTTTTTCCATCTATATTTTACCTAAAATCAAAGTAGACTTTATAAAATTTACTTAATTTTTTAGGTAAATTTTTTTCCAACCAAACAATTTTTTTTACATTTTCTTATCAAACTCATTTCTCAACCATTTTTCTAGTAATAACATTTCTCTATTATTCATAAATTTTATCTTCAACCAAACGCCTCGAAGATTCATCTCGGTCCGAGGGAGTGGGGGTATTAAGCCGACAGCACACAGAAGCATGTTTAACGATGACCATCGGAGGGTTTTGAAGATTCTACGAGAAACACATGGTACTAGTGGTGATCGACACGAGTCTGATACCACTCCAGATGTAGTTGTCAGCTACTTGACGTCGGCAGAGTTTATGCATATGGCTTGCATGCGCCATATTCTGGTTTGTCCTATAAAATCACTATATTTTATTGAGTTATTTTATAGTCATTGTTGAATGTTAATACAAAATTATAATATAAAATTATTATTTTTTGGATTTTTTAGACTGATGAGCTCCATTTTCATACGAGTGCATGCTTAACCATCCCAAGACAAAGTAAAGTTACGCAAGTTTTTGAAATTTAAGTAACATTTACAAATATAAATGAAAAGAAAAAATATTGAAAAGAAATTTCAAATTTTAAAAATTGCAAAAAAAAATAAGTTAAAAGAAAAATATTTAGAAAATATTTCAAATTATAAAATGTATACATAATTAATTTAGATAGAAATAAAAATTTATGAATAAAAGAAAAATTTAAAGATTATTAAAAAAATGTATAATTGATTTGAAAAGTTAAAATTAAAATTTAAAAATTATATTTCTACAAAAGATATACAAAAAATAATAAATCTTAAGAGTGGGTAGTTAAAATAAAATAAAAAACAATTTTAATATAAAAACAAAACAAAAAATTAAAAATATGACAATATAAATAACCTAAATTTAGATAGAAAAAAATTCAATTAAAAAATTAAAAGAAATTAAAAAATAAGAGTTTTTTTTTTTTTTTGAAAAATACAAATACAAATCAACGGTGAAACTATTACTATATAAGAAAAAAGAGTACAATAAAACTCCTCCCACTATCAAAAGTGAAATTCTATTTTATCATATAAAGTGGATTGCCAAATAGAAGAGAGTTTCTCCCATCTTAGGTAGTCGAAGAAGTTGTTGCATTCATTCGTTTAACAACACTTACATGCTAAACATCAAGAAGCAAAATCATAATATTTAGTAATATTATGTTGTCTGAATATTTTAGTATTTAGTAACGTTATGCTGTTTTTTTTTCTTACACATCGTTTCATAGCTTACTGTCCTAATTATGTAGCAACTTTCAAACCTTTTCCAACAAACAGGCATGCATCCATTAACAACCAATACATTGCATTTCACCTCAATGGACAACAGGTTTTAAGGGATGAGCTCTAAGTTTTGACAAATCCAGATTAGAATCCAGATCTTCATCTAGTTCACCAACAACACTTCTGCAATGACCAAAACGAAACCATACGAGTCTTAGGTTGTTACATGCATATACAAGATAGGTCACAGGTAGAGAGCCATAATAAGAAATCTATATGATTCACAAATTTAAAAGTGATGGTGTAAGGGACATACATGTTGTCACCCCTAATGATGTACAAACCAAGAACAAGTTGTTGAACACCTTCCTGTCATTAGAAACATGAATGAGACTAACATCAGGAAGACTCGAGAAAAATTGAGCAAGGCTAAAAATCATGACTTTCAAGAAACAAATCTGCAGCTAATACAAAAGCTTATGTTGAGCAAAGACTCGAATTCCCGGTTATGGTGAGGAGAGAAGGCAAAGCAAAATTAACAATCACACAAATACGCTATATAAATGAGGTTCCGATTTGAGTAATAAAAAATATACAACTCTAAAAGTAGATAAGCAAGATAGACTTATACAGCCATAAGCCAGTAACGTTATTGGTAGCAAATCCTTAAAACAAAAGAAAGTAAACAGCTCTAACCTCCAAGGCAAACATGGTTTTATAGTTACCTGTATCTATAAAGAAACGGCAATGAATTTCTACATCATAAAAAGACATGGCCCACGGTATGTAATGCACTTACAGTTGACCCATTGCGCATGACTCAATCAATTAATGGATTGATTCAAAAAGTTTGGATTCAAACAAAATTATGGCCCATTAAGCACAACTCACAAGTTCAAAGCAGCAACAATTTCAAATCTAATAGATTGCGATCAAATCAAAATCCAAATGAAGTGATAAAATACAAGTCCAAATGAAGCAGCAAATGTGATTGTGGTTTGTTTGGAAAAAAACAAAAAAAGCAACAAATTTGGCATAATTTGAGATATAAGATTTGGTGCGTATTTTGAATAATTTAATTGTAATTATTTATTTATTTATCTATTTTTAGAAGGTAGTTATTATTATATTTGTTTTTAGGATTTTTAATTTTGAAATAATTTGTAATTAGTTTATAAAAAGGTTCTTGTGACCCCTATTGTACGAGTTGAACTTTGTTATTTTCATAATTATAATTAAGAACCGGAGGGTTACTCTTATATGAAATTCCAACTTTCTATTTAGACACATTTTCTATGCATTTTCGGCATGAATTAGTATTAGAGCACTAGGTTCCCTTAGGCCAATGACTGAACAAAATCGTGGAGGTCGTAGATGGCAGAGTCATGATGGTAGGGAACGTGGATTTGTTGCTTAAAAAGATAGATAACTGGGTCAAATAAACCCGTGAGACATAAAAAATAGAGAGCTCGAAAAATGGATCCAGGATTTGAAGCGACAACTTGTGCAAGCATTTGGCAAGAAAATCCAAGTTTTGGAGCGACAATTATGGAGGCGCAGAGTAAGAAAATCCAAGATTTTGAGCGATGACTTGTGCAGGCACATAACGAGAAAATCCAAGTTTTTGAACGACAACTTATGTAAGCGCAGAGCATGAAAATCCAAGACTTGGAGCGGCGACTTGCATGGACAAAGTTGGACATTCAATCTAAAGAAGGAACAGAATCAAAGGGCCCATTTGATAACGAAAAGAAGGACGCCAACCTTTAGTTGTTCTAAACCAGGATCGAAATAGGAGAGTACGGATTGGAAATCAGTCCACTTTTCAAGATATCGAGATGCAAATCAACATTCCTATCTTTGAAGTCTATAATCATAATCCAGTTTACGATAATTATTCGATCTATGATGATAATTCAATTTATGATGATTATTTAACTTACGATGACAATTCAGTTGATGATGATTATTCAATCTACGATGATAATCCTATCTATAATGATCATTCATTTTATGATAAATCTGATGGAGAATTAGATGATGACGATCTAATAGAGGAAGAACTATCATTTGAATTTCTACCTAAAGAGATTGATATCAGTGAAGACAAAGCAGATTTGAGAAAGAATCTTTTCCAAGCGGGGGGAATGATGCATTAACAGTTGAACCATTGCGCATGGCCCAACCAATTAGAATTTATTCAAGAAGTTTGGATTCAAACAAAATTATAGCCCATTAAGCAGGGCTCACATGTTCAAAGGAACAACAATTTGAAAATCTAATAGATTACGATCAAATTCAAGTCCAAATGAAACAGCAAATGTAATTGTGATTTGTTTGGCAAAAAAAGAAAAGCAACAAATTTGGCGTAATTTGATATAAGATTTGGAACGTATTTGGAATGACTTAATTGTAACTATTTATTTATTTACTTATCTATTTTTAGAAGGTAGCTGTTATTATATTTATTTTTAGGATTTTGAATTTTGAATTGATTTATAATTAGTGCACAAAAGGGTGCTTATGAGCCCTATTATAGGAGTTGAATTTTGTTATTTCGATAATTATAATTGAGAATTGGAGAGTTACTCTTTTATGAAATCCCAACTTTCTGTTTAGTCACCATTTCTACGTAGTTTCGGCATCAGTCTGACTAAGTCTTTGAACAATGTTCTTTACAAAATAATGAAGTATGGTACAGAAATTGTAAAGAGAAAGCATATGACTTAACTCAAACAATATCCCCATGGCCATTAAAATAGCATTGACAATCACAGATTCAGGGGACAGTTCTGTCTTCAAGATTCATTTCAAGACACAAACACAAACAATAACAACAAAATCAAAGCAACAAAGCAAGCTCATCTAATGCCACCTCTCATCACAAAATATGCCTAACTTGTGATATTCTGAATTTAAAAAAACAAAAAACAAAAACTATAGTTACAAATAATGACTAAGACTTGTAATAATCTTTTCAATATCAGGTAGATCAAAGCTGCAGTACATTTTTTTTGGCAACAAACAAGCTCCAAGATAGTTTGTGAAACTTGATTGTTTGTTGAATTTTTCTTTCAGCAGATGTATCATGACAAAGAATTGATAATTCCTAGCATAGCAATCTACAGTTCAAAGCTAGATACAAATATTATTCATAGAAATCATGGCTCATAATCTCTAAATGGATTTTTCTGCATAAATTCATCCATACCTTAGTAGAATAAACTCTTTCATGGGACTCATCGAGAATTATATTTGTTGCCTGGTCAAAACCTTTCAGGATTCCCTGAACAAAAAAGCATTGTAATTAGGAGTTAGAGAAATGATACCTATTAACACACTACTACATACTGTCAAGAGCTAATTTTGTGAATATACTAAAACTTACCACTATATTTCGTCCATCATTAGTAATGACTGATATTGTCTCTGCCAAGTGCCAACAACCAAAAGACTCAGTAAAAGGTAGCAACTACTAGGTCCAGCATGGCTTAAAGCATATTTTAGGGAAATAAAATTTGATGGAGAATAAGTTTCAAATGTTTCATTAACTTAAATGGTTATTTGGTAATAAGGGTAGTAGATAGTACAACTATTTATAAAACACAACATCGAGGAAAAACACAAATATGTTACAAATGGCTTACGATCTACAAGAGACTCAAGACCCGGGCCCCCATTTGACATCTTGGAGAGTTAGTTACTTTTTCAGTTTGCTATTGCACCTATCCTCACACCTGTAGAAGCTTCAATTTCAAAACACTAATTAAAACAATGCAAATTGTACATTTAGAACCAGCTAAATTCGGAGTAAAGCAGAAATATTATGCAAAAACTCACAAACCAATCAAGCAATAACCTCAGTATTTACTACATAAACATTAGCTTAATGAGATTTCTTATTTAGAATTAATTGATATAAGGGTTACATAAACAATAAGAACACTCATCTCATAATCGTTCTTGAAAGATTAATGAGATTTCTTATTTAGTACCCTATCCTGAAAAATTCCTGTCAAAACGATAAATGCCCCACCTTTCCATAGAGAAAAAAAAAAACCTTATTAATTCAGAAAGCACACATAGAATCAATGTTGTAAAATGAAAAAAAATCTCAATATATCATATCCCAATTAAAACAAAGTCCAGAAACATAATCAGAAGAGTACGACAGGAACAAGCACTGTTGTTAATTTGTTAACCAAATCCTAAATCCTAAATCCTAAACCCTAAATCCTATACGGTATCGTTTTAGGTCCAGAAATCAAACCGTAGGTCCAGAAATCAAACCGTTTTACACAAAAAAAGAAAAAATAAAACTGCGTTATAAAGAAATAGTGAAAGGGAAAGATAAGATTAAGGAGAAACACCTGATGAAGAAGACAGCGCGAAGTTCAGCAGCAAATAGAGGGCAGAGAAAGGTTTTGGGTTTTGCCTTATGGAGATTTTGAATTCGATGTAAATAGAATTTAGGATTTTTATTTTTATTTTGTTTTACAATATGTTTTTGATTTTATCGGGATAAATGTAATTTCAAGTGAAATTATCCTCTTTAAGTGAGTTTTTGCGTAAAATTCCTTTTACAATACTCCATTTTTCTCTCATCTTCTGATCTTGTGGATGAGATATTGTTATATAAGGGAATAACATTTGTGGGAAATAACCTTATATCATTTTAGATTCTAATTGTTGATTTCTCTCCATCAGCAGTTATAATTTATTGGATCAAAAATATTAATTAATTAATAATAAATTTGACCAATTAAATTTGACCCAATAAATTATAACCGTTGATGGACGAAAATCAACTGTTAGGATCTAAAATTATATAAAGTTATATCCTTTAAAATGATAGATGCTTTTCCCTTGTTAAAAATACCAAAATACAGTTGTTTCACTTAAATAACACTAAATAATAACTTTTTTCAATTTTTAATTATAAGATTAATCAAGCTTATGTCACATAGAGATCATTCTAATTATGATTTTTTTTGTGGTATATAACGAGGGCCCTGAGACTAGCTCTTTATAAAAAATAAAAAATAAAAGAGTATATTGGACCGCTGATACTAGAGGAAGAGTGAAAAAAGGAGAGATGATTTTTCTCTAACCCCAAAAGAATTTCAAGAAATTGCTTTAGTCAATATTTGAGCCTTCGATCAAAATAATTTCTGGGCAAATATTTTTCTACACAATTGTCTGAACAATTAATCTATGAGGTATATTGGATTAGGATTTTAAAAGACTTTTTTGAGATAAAAACTTATAAATTTTAAAAGACTATTTAGAATTACATGGACTTTAAAAACTTTATAAAAGATTTTTATTTACAATCAAGAATTCATAAGATTGGATTTTAAATGATTTTAATAGAATTTATAAGATATGAAAAGACAATATGGATTTATAAGATCTTAAAAAATCATATGAATTTTTAACAAACATTTAAAATTACAAGAGTCAATAAAAAATAACAAAGAAATGCAATTATATTAATAAAAAAAAGTAAAACCTAATATAATTTTTTCAATCAGTAAAATTCATAATAAAATTTCGTATGAAATTTTTGCAATTGATCTTTTAAATCTTGGAGTTTTTGTTCTACGTGATGAGAGTTTTTTAATCATATATCATATGCATGTTTCTATTGACTATTCCAAGAAAATTATGAATTTCAATTTCTGGATTTTATTACATGAAAGTTTAGAAAATTTCTCAAATTATGTTTAATCGATACATTAAACCTTAAATTGCTTTGGGATTTTTGAAAAATAAGTTTTTAGTGATCTATTGACACAAAAATTGTTTGAAATTATTTTCTATAGCGATGGAATTTTATTCGTGAATGTATTATTATGAAATATAAGGTTCATAATATGAAAGTTTTAATCTTTCTTTAAATCGATCATGTTTCATTGATGTAAAACGAAAAATTTGTTTGAGGGTTTTTATTCCCATATTATTTTTCCACTGTTTTATGTTGCTTTTAATAAAAAAAATTGTGCCTAGGAAAATCGTGACCAATAGTTTGAAAATTTATTTTTTAAACTTTCAAAACCTCTCAAAAATCGCTCAAAAATCTGCTATTTTGAGATGGATTAGATTAAAATCTTGTTGGGTTGTTGTTTCTGGTTTGTTTTGCGATGAAAATCACTCAAAAATCTGTTATTTTTTAGCTTTGACGAAGCTCCCATGGCGAAACTTGGTTTCAAGCGGGTTGACCCGCCAAAGGAAGAAGAAAATATTGCAATAGAGAAACCTTAAGAAATCCTATGGGTTAGGGTGAGATTGTGAGAAAGGCATTCTATTTATTTCTTACTAAAAAGTCACACGAAATCCACATCAATAGAAAATCCATTAAAATGGTCAGATTTTTTAATACCACAAGATTATTTTTCCTTTATTTAAAATCCTGATTGAATACCAACAGACTTGGACGGACTATAAAATAATCTTTTACAATCCTAATTGAATCCACGTGACTTTTTTTCAATCTTTTAAAATCCTAATTGAATACCAATGAATTTTTTGGTCAAAAAATAATCCATTAAAATCCTTTGAAATCCCAATCCAATACACCTCCCTAAGTTCATTGACAGTAAGAAATTGAACAAAGAAGAGAGAGGAGAAGGAAATGAAATGAGAGACTTGGACTTGTCAAAATGGGCGAGAGCCCGTGAGCCAGCCCTTCAACCTCAATTTTGAGCCCTATTTTTTTAACCCATACTTGGTAGGGTTGTTTTTTACCCTAGCTCCCACTAACCCTCATCTTTTTTGGGTTATCCCAATAACCCTATTGGCCAACCCAATGTTTTTTTACTAAAACTTAAATCCCTAATTTTTCTAGTTTTTTTCTTCACAACCTCCATTGCAGTTTCGATTTCTTGTTCTTCAGGCATGTATGTGGCAACCACACACCTTCTCTGTTCTCTGGTCACGGTATTTTCTCTCTCTTTTTCTCAATGCTTTTGATTTTCGATTCTCTGCACCATAATTTCCTTCTCCAAAATTGATGCATTTATTTCCTGATGTGAAGATTCAATTTTTAAACAGACGTTGGTGTTCGTTGCACAATTGATTTCGTTTACTTCCAAATATGTTGTAGCTAGGTATCTTTTCACTCCCTCTTGAATTGAGAGTGTGTGGAAATGAAACATAAATAAGAATTGCAATATCATTCGAAACATACAACTTATGGGTATTCAAAATTATGAACCTAGCATATTGTGTTCTCTGATGCAGTATCACACTGTTATAGTTACTAAATTTTCAAAGTTTATCTTCTATCTCAATGCTTGGTTGGGTTTATGGAATGTGAAGATTATGTTTTATATATGATTTGAGTCTCTCTTTTATTCTTTTTTCTTTTTTGGTTTTTGGGTGGTTATGGTTTCCAAGGGGAACTAATTTTGTGGTGCCCTCGTGTTTTTCGATGAAATATATAACATCTCGTACTTCTAAAATGTATAATTATATATGAAAATGTGGATTAAAGGGTAGGATTAGGGAAAATCCTGAATTTAGAACCAAAATACGTAAAAATGGTAAAATGGTAAATTGCCAAACACATAATCTTAGGAAAGGAAATTTTAGTAGAAGGTCTCAAATGGAAAAACTAACCCTGAAAATGGATTCAGAACGAAAAATTGAGTGGGTAGACAAGTTTCTGAAATTTGATGAATAGTGTTTTTACCAGGTAAAAATATAGTGGTACAATTGTATCGTAAAGCGCGCCGAATGAATTTCGAGCTCTAGGTTTGGAAATAAGTTATAAATGGTACGTAGGACTAGAAAATATGATTTCTGGTGAAAATTGAGGAAATTAGTGTGTTTGGGGAATCGTGACCACAACGCGCATAACAGCTTAAATCTGTGATTTCAACGACCGGAAAACTCCGGATTTATCTGATCAAGGACAATTAAAGGATAATGGTTAATATTAAAAATTGGAATTTCTAAATAGTTTAGGAATTTATGGACATTTAGTAGAATAAGCGGGAGATTTGAATTAGTTTGAATCGTGTAAAGTGGCGGTGGGACCCACTGATAAACCCTTGGTTTACCATGGTTTTAGGTCTAATTATACAAGAAATATATCATGAATTGCATGGAAATTAGGGTTTTACACCGTAAAGTCACAAAGATTGAATATCTTGCTAACATATTGTAATAATACGGCTGGACCAGACAGTGAGGGGGAAAAGACACAAGAAAAATAAGACTCCTAGATTACAAATGCAAGCCGAAACAGAGATGATGAAGGGTAGAGTTTGACATTTGGATTTTTACCTCTAGCATGCATCCATAACCCCCAATTCTGTCGATTGAGGTTAGCCACAAGTTGGTGTGTACACTCTTAACCTCTCTATACTCCAAGTCTCGGTTTTACTGCATGCAAGGAGCAAAAAGTTTAAACAGAACCGGTTCATGAGGCAAGGTACGTGGGGACTCCGAAAATGCCTCACCTTTTCCTACTTGAGGTTGACAGCGTACCCAATGGGATGGAGAAGGTGTGTTGAGTGAAGTCATGAGCTGCATGCAATGGAATACATCATCAAATTAAAGCCGAACCATGTGCATGCAAGGAGAAATTTGATCATGACCGGTTCAAGCGGGCTGTACAAGGAGATAAAGAGCTCACCTCACCTCCTTGGATGTGCTCTTCGGTCGAGCAAGAAGGGAAAGGATGGGAGGTTGGATGATGGGTGCTTCCCTTGTGAAGCTCACGGCTTTGGAATTAAATGGGGGAACCATGTGATTCTGAATAGATGGTTAACATTTAGCCTTGGGGCTTCTCTTTACAGCGCATAGGAAGGAGGAGAGGAATGATATTAGGGCCTCATAATCTGAACTTAGGTTCAGCAAGGGATGAAACAAAAAATCAGTCTTGAGGTTTCCAAATTATGCGCACAATAGAAGGATAAGGGGAAAATATGTGTGTGGCTTTTTGGGCCAATAGAAAGACATGCAAGAAGATTACCTTTCCCCCTATTGGTTACATGTGGCGGCTGGAACAGATTTGTGTTATGATACTAAAGCAAGAGATCTGAATTTCTTCTCTACTCATATGCATGAAAAGTGATAAAAGGATAGATAATGATTTTCCAAATGGTGCCACTTGGCCAATGGTGGAGTGGACATGAAATTTCTTATGATAAAGTGAGGCTTAGCTAAAAGGTCATGTGTAATAATTCTAGGGCTGACTTACCTCACTTGAGAGGCTTGGGTAGACGCTCTTATTGGGTCTTATGGCCCCAAAATTAAATTCCTAGAGATCACCTATTACCAGTAATATTCTACTGCTTATTATTTCATACACTCTCAAGGTATTATCTTGGATTTTTATATGTGGTAAGTAAATAAATCAAATCCTTTAACTAGTGCTTTAAATTCCTAAAACCCATTCTCACGCATAATTTCAATTAACTTAATTTCTTCATGATTTAAATTAAGTCCACCCTAAATAAATAAAGATATATTTCGAATTAAAAGTAAGTTC